GCTCGGCCCGAAGGCGTGTGGCGTGCTGGCGGCACTCGTGTGTGCGTGTCCAGCTATTAGCGTAATTAATAGAGGCGTGGGGAGAGGTAGAGGGTTTGACCGCCGCCTGCGTTGTCGTTTAAATCATCATTTAAATAATTTTCAAATCGCTGTTTAATTAGCAGGCTATTACTGCTTAATCGCAATTCGATTGCCGTTTCATTCTCGTTCAATTGCCAATTAATTGTCGCACGCCGGGGGTACAGGTACGGCTCCTCTGGGTTTCGGTGGAACGGCGAGGTCTTGCGTGCTCTCCACGGCGAGAAGTCTGGGGCCCTTCCACCGCTCTCCTTCCTGCAGCTTCTGAGTGGAGCAGGGCTCCTGTGGCTGGGTCTCAGTAGTGTGGTGGGGAAACTGGTGTCATGGGGCCGCCAGCGCTGGTGTGATGTCCTTGCTGGGGGAGTACTCGTGGGCTTGATAGAGGGGATTGTGAGAAACGTGAAACTGTAAAAAAAAAGCCTTAATATTTTCTAGTTTTTAGCAGTCTTTAGTACTGTAACTTGTGTTCCTGCATGCATAGTGCTCTGATGATGTAACTGTTACACTAGTCCCTGTTTTCTCATTAAGGAATGTAGTGGAAGGACAGGGGCACCAGCTATCACTTAGTCGTTAGACAAAATAATTAAGTGAAACTAAAGTGGTCTTGGTTCTCAGCAAATAATTGGGATAATTGTGGGATAAAAGAGACTCCTAAATAATTCCGCTCCAGACAGCTCGGCCTTGGGAGGGCAAATGTGCCAAGCTACAGAGATAAGGAGGCACCAAGAGAGCAACAAGACCAGAGCCAAACAACCTGAAGGACACGATATACGTGATCCTGGAACTGAGTTTGCACAGAAACAGAGGTCAATCAGTGAACACCATGATGAGGAGGATGGGCCCTCATCTTGGGACCCCCGAAGACCACCCAAAGATGCTAACAGACACGCGTGAAAGATATTTACATATGCTCATTAGTTCTCTAACTACCCTAAGTAGTTCTTAGAAATATAATGAATATTTACATGTGTGATTGTATTTAACCTGAAGTAACAGGGTGTCTGGCGCGCATGTTTAGAGGGAAAATCCCCCGTGTGCCCGGCGCCGCAGTGAAGAATACCTGCCCAACAGAATACATGGTACTGGTAGGTTTTTCCTACCGGATCTTCGAATCAGGCTGGTCGTTGCTGCAGGGCCCTGGCTGCTGTTGCCGTTGCACGGGGAGACTTTGGGGCTGAGGGACATCTCAAAGGGGTGCTGGTGTCTGCCCCAGTGCCTGTGCTCATTTTGGATGTCCTGCTCAGATGTCGTGCCCAGAGGACCTGACTGCCCTGACAGATGAGGACCTGCTTGAATTCCTCCTGAAGGATGATACTCCCTGCCCTGAAATCCCATGGGAGGAGAACAATCTGCTGGATGACTGGGGCCTGCTAGAGTCTGAGGTGAGTTCTTTGGGAGGAATCTCTGCTGGGTTGTGGTTCGGGAGGTCTGGCTTCCTGCTG